TTGAGACAGGGTTTCTCTGTGTAGCCCTGGCTATCCTGGAACTTGCTCAGTGGATCAGGCTGGCCTCGAACTCACAGAGATCTCCCTGCCTCTGTCTCCCAAGTGCTGGGATTAAAGGTGTGCACCATCACTTCAGGCATGAGAAGTATATTTTCATCGTACTCTTGAGGGATAAATTCGTATCATGTTCATCTTTAGATTAAGATGAGGTTGTTTCTATAAAGTACCGTCGATCGTTTCTATTGTAAGATTATATAATCAGACTTTTCCAGGAACTGAAATTCTCCTGGGTCAATTCCACTGTCCCCATTGTTAGGGTTAAGAAAATGACAACCTCAAAAGGAAGAAGTCACCCAAAAACAATATTTAAACATTAAAACATGGTATAATAACTTCATTAATTTTTTTGTTTATTCCTGAAGTAAATGTTGGAGGGGTAGGAAATAGCCCAGTGATATAAAAAAGAAAATGTGGCTTCCCTTTCCTCCAGCATCCTGTAAGCTTCATCGCATGCCTTGCTGTGTCTCTGCCATCCACCTGTCTGAGAACCTGCTAACAGACAGTAGGAAGACATCTGGGTTTTAGAAAACCCCAAATCAGCACCCGAAGAAGACTGACAAGACTCCAAAAGGATGGCTCAAGTAGTAAACCCTTACATGAAAACTTCTCCTCCTAACAAAAACTTTGAAATTCAGAATTTACAGAATCCGAGAATAACAATGGTACAGAGAGATCCCCCACCAGTAGAGAATCCCAGAATGAAATGCAAGAACTGTGGGGCCTTTGGACACACTTTAAGAAGCAGGAAGTGCCCTATGAAGACTTGGGATGGTGCCATGGCCCCACTGCCCTTGGGCTTTAAGAAGGAAAAGGAGCACCAGAACCCACGAAAGTCAAAGAATCGTCAGAATCCTGACCCAGAGAATGAGACAGAGAGAGAGAGAAAAGACAGAGAAAGACAAGAGAAGCAAAGGCCGGCTCTCCTGCTTAAATTTCCCAAGAAGCCCCTAAAGAGGAGGCCACCGTGTTGGAAGGATATGACACCTTTTGGTAACTATCTGAGGCGTCCAAACAGACCAATGGTTATCCATATAAGCAAGAGATCATCCGCGAAGTCCACTCAAACTAATCTGCCATCAGTCAAGAAATCTGATGGGGAGCATGTGTGCGATACAGCACCTTCCACAAAAGACACTAATGTCTTACCTCTTAAGGAAGAGAAATGTCAGACCTCGGAGGTTCCTACCATGCCAAAAACAGCATTTGGGCACAGTGGTGAGAACCCAACTTTCAGTGAGAATCCAGTAGACCAAAGCACAAAGAATTGCTTCCATCAAGTTTCCCAGGCTGCTTCCAAAGTGCAGGAGATGGGCCACATGTTGAACATCCAGTCACCAGCCCAGCGTTCCGATGAAGATAAACACCCCTGGATGTACCCCACTGCACATCCAGATAGCCAGCATGCTGAACTCAGCCTCAAGACAACCCATGAGGGAAATCTCCAGCTCCCCACTGAGGTTATCCAAAATCCTCAGAAGAAACGGCGAATAAGCTTATATCAGAAACACCAGAGGCCTATGTTGGAGGCTTTTCATGATGTGCCATGTTCTAGTGCCAGTCGAATTGACCCAAAAGGATTACCTCAAGTGACCAGTGTTGGACAACAGCCTCCACCCAGCAGACCTTTACTGAATTTCCCCCACTCTTTCACTGAGTCCCATTGTCCGAAGTCTAGCCACGTTCCCGTCGAACCCGTCCGAATGATCTTCACTAGATTGAGAACCGGCTGCTGGAGCTCCAAGATCTTGGAAGCTTCCTCATATCATCCTCCTGAAAAGAAAATGTCTCCTGATAGGATCTCACCTTCTCTGAAGCACTCTGAAGGATCATACATACTCGTGGGTCACACTAAGTATCTTCATAAATACCCTTCCAGCCTCTCCTTTGAGGAGAGGAAATGAGGAGATCACATCAGAAGAAACTCTCTCCAGCCTTAGAGGGACTTGTGGCGGACTGTTGGATGGAGGAGAGAGTAGAGGAGGCTGACTGAGCCAGTTGAGTGAGGTCCTTGGGACTGTGAAGCATAAGAACCGGTGGAATCCCACCAACTGAGCAACAGAAGTATCATTCAGAGCATAAAAAAAAACCTGCACTTCAAATGGAGTTAGAGGAGGGAAAATGTTTAGGAGTCTCATATGAAATCTGTAAGAACTTGAGTTGGTATGTACATGTGTTTATTCACACATAAGTAGAAAGCCAGGATTAAGCTGTTTAGCATCCAAGTGTGTGTATTAGTAGAAAGTCTGGATGATTGTAGGACTTACATCTTCATCCTGACCTTGGAAAAGCGCTCTTGACTATCACGCGTGTCGGCGAAAGCCAGCGTGAAGAAAGCTCTCTTGCACTTACACAGGTTCTTTAATGACTTGTAAATATGTTTTAGAAATCCGTTTCAGTGTTATTGAAGTTCTATAAACTATACCAAAGAAGAAAGAAAATGCACTCACCGTTACGCCTGCCCTAACGTGCTGCAGCTGTCCCTCTCCAGGAGTAGTCAGCGCTCATAGTCCATGGTGTTGCCTTCATTTCATAATGAAATTTTAGAATTCTGTTTGTTCTTGTTATTAAGATGTTATCGTAGTATTCAGTCTGACTGTTTCAGTGAACACTAATAATGGTCTTTTAATGACCAGAACATACCCAACTTGAAGAGGACAGTTTGGACTGCCCTTGTGCCTTTCATTCCTCTTCAAAACAGACTTGGCTAATATGTAAACCCATAGTTGAAGGAAAGTTTGCAATGGGGTATTGTTCTTATTCTAAGTTTACATCTTTGAATAAATTTTTGTTAGCAAATTGATCCAACTTTTCTGTTTACTTATTTCTTTTCGGTGTTTGTTTGTTTGTTTGTGAAAAGGTTTCTCTGTGTAGCCCTGACTGTCCTGGAAGTTACTACATATACTAGGCTGGCCTTAAACTCTCAGAGATCTGCCTGCCTCTCCCCCCAGAGCTCTGGGATCAGAACCATGCACCACACCCGACTCTTGAACTTCTTGAGCTTCTGCTTGCGCTGCCTCCGCCTCCAGAGTGCGAGGATAGCAGGTATGCTGGCACATCTGGTGTGTGCAATGGCGGGGCTTAAGCCCAGGGCTGCATGTGTGCTGGGCACTAGTGAGCACTGTACCCAATGAGCTACCTCCCTAGCCTTAAGTTCATTCACTCTTTCATTTTATTATGTGTATGGGTGTTCTGCCTGAATGTATATCTGTGTGCCACATTCAAGTCTGATGCCAGAGGAGGTCAGAGGAGGATCTAAGATGCCTTTGAACTGGAATTGAAAATGGTTGTGAGCCACCGTGTGAGTACTGGGAATCGAACTCCTATGCTCTGTAAGAGAAATCAGTGCTCTTAATTGCTAATTCATCTTTCCAGGCCCTCATTTATTTCTTTATATAAGTGGGCCAGTTTTAGTTTGTTCAGATGTCTAGTCTAAATCCACTTAACTTTGAAAATATTTCTAATATTTTGCCTGCATGTCTATGCACTACGTGCCTGCCTGGTGGCTGCATGTCTGTGCACTACGTGCCTACCTGGTGCCTGAGGAGGCCAGAAAAGGGCATCGGATCTCCTGGAACTGGAGTTACAGACAGTCATGGGCCTCCAGGCGAGTGGTGGGAATTGGACCCGGTTCCCTGGAGAAGCAACCAATTCTCATAACTACTGAGCCATCTCTCCAGCCCCTGTAATTTCACTTCTAAAGGAAGAGGAATTGCTGCAGAATTCCCCTCCGCATTCCCCTCCATATCTCCATTTCTTGTTGCATGTCCTCGTCGTTTTCCAGCCGCCTCTCCCAGGTGTTCACAGCAGGCACAGCAAGTGAAAGGGGAGGAACAAAGGAAGTTAGGCAAAGCTACTGTAATCAAGTCAATGTGGCATAAAGATACACATAGAATCCTCCAGAAAAAAATAGAACTGCATCTATATAGAGATGATCAGTATTCTCTCCAAAGGTGCCAAGACAGGTCAAATGACACTAGAGCAGTGGGTCTCAACCTTCCGAATGCTGCGACCCTTTAATTCAGTTCCTCTTGCTGTGGTGACCCCCAACCGTAAAATAACTTTCGTTGCTCCTTCATATCTGTAATTTTGCTACTATTATGAATCATAACATAAAGGTGTTTTCCAGTGGTCTTAGGAGACCTATGTTAAAGGGTCTTTTGACCTTTCCCCCAAAGGATCGCAACCCACAGGCTGAGTACCGCTGTTGTAGAATAGGATAATG